CCAAAAACACTGAAATCTTTCTTTTTGGCAATTATATATATTTGAGGTAATGAAAATACATTTTCCGATTTGTTACCTGATTCCGTGTCAGATTTTCTTTTTAATTATTTTGTTTACGTTTTAAAACATCTTACAAAATAGTTGTAATATTCATGTGTTATATAACTGCCAGCTGATAACTGCCCAATATTCCATTTTATGACGAACACAGTGAACAAAACTTTCAAATATCTAACAACTGACAAGTGTGTTCAATTAGATCACCAATTCACGGGATATATCACAACGATTTTAGTTGCACACATTTTCCTTTAGAACTGACAACTCGCTATACATCCTGGTTTTATCTGATCATTTCAAATAGGATCCAATCACTGACTGTTATTGTTTACTTAAAGTACAAACTACAGTGGACAAAACTACGTATAGAGCAGTGATACAGTTTCGAGACCTGAAGGGTCAGTCTGCTAGAAAGTATAAAGGGTAATTGACACTCATTCACATAGAAATCTTCCCATTCTACTGCTATCAAGCGCAGGGTGAAGGAATTTTAGCGAGGCAGAGAGACTGTAGAGGTGAATCTCAGTCAGGACGGCTATCAACCTGTTCTAGTCCGGATTGATTGACCAAAACGAGTAATTGTAGCAGAGCAACAGGTCTTACGATGTCCCGTGACAAATGGAGGAGGAGGAGGAGAAGGAGGAGGGCCGTTATGGGTGGAAATCAAGATGTCGAGTCCGATTATTAGGATATCAATGGCTGCAAAATAGAAGGACTCAAAATTGATAGACGTCCAATTGAATTTACTATTAACAATAAGGATCTACTGTCACTGATACACATATTACAATGTTACGTGTTAGATAAAGACGCGACAAATTCTTGGCAATGCACCACAGCATAGTCTCCTTATCTGTGTAATACAGGTAGGACGTAAGAATGCTAACTGCTGTATTCCCTTCGCAAGCTCAAAGGAATCTTAATCATTTCTTGCTTTTATTGATTTTTTATAGGGATGGGGGAGGGGGAGGGGGGGGCTTTTCCTGCTTAAAGGCTCTTCACACCACTGCATTTTTCCCTTTGAGTTGAGAACTTCTGAACAGAAAAGGACAGCACGGGCTCTTTCTCAGACCCTTGACTTATCAAAGTCATTGCTATGGCACAGTTTGCTTCCTGTTTATAGCAGTTAAACCGTTGTTAGTGTAATGTAACCACGTGATACCTGTATGTCATGTAACCATGTTCAAATTTTGACATTTCAGTGTGATTGCGCTATAGATAAGTCAATATCGTCATTATCCGTTGACACCGTCTCCATATAACCAATGCTGTTGCGAGGACAGGATACCCAAATCAAAGTAAACAACATGGACTGTTCTGTCCCAAAATGTGTATTTAGTTAATGTTGATGGATTGATAATAATATTTTGTACGTCTATGGCTCTATGAGCCTAATATTCGGAAAACAACCCATAGGAACCCACAATCGTATCATAAATCATACTAATATTTCATAAGCATTTTCGATAATACAAATATATATAATCTCTTACAGTTGACATCTTCTACGTCTTGATCGGATTTGTTTAGGTGATGGATACTCTCTTCACAGATTAGTATGCTGCTCTATTAGCCAATCGAAAGAAAGGTTACAAACGACATCATTTTTATATATAATCAGTTGATTAGTCAAACGAATTTTTCAAAAAAAAATATGATATATCGCAACATGATAATCGGCTAATTATAACATGCAATATTGATGTGGTGAGTCTGCGTCACGGAAGTCAAGTGTGAGGCTTACTGAACCAATTGTCTTTCAGGAGAAAGAGGAGACGGGAGTGAAACTGAGCGTTTTCTTTCCTCATCATGTGACTGATATAAACCAATCAGAATTACTTATAATAATTGTGTGAACTGAATGACTCAAGCGTCATGCTACCTTTAATCTTAGTCTTATTGTATTATTCCAACTAATTCGATACATGATACGATTTATGTAAAATTGGTACACGTCTGGGAGCAGCTCACGACCAATTAAAGCCGACTTCGATATGACAGGGGACAAGTATAAAGATATTAAAAGAATAAAACTAAAGCATACAGAGAAAACTAAAAAAATTCATGTTATCTTTTTGGACAAATCTTGATATGTACTTTTGCTTTTCTTTTGAGGATATAAAACGAAATCAGTTTTACGATGAGATCTTGTAACCCCCAACCTTTACTTACAATCTGCATTACACACTCATATCTGGGCCCTTACTCCGTGGTATTGCTCAATAAACATTCCAGTAGTGTTCATGTCATGATGCGGGCATGTACAACTAGGTCCATCACTGGATTCACACAAACATATTAAAACTCCTGGTTGTGTATAAAGAATCTTTACATAATAGAAAATTCACTCATTTTAGGGGATCCGCAACCTTCGTAACTGGGGCATTTAAGGGGACCAGTAATCTTTGAGATTCATACTAGGACATTTTAAAGGAACAGTATCCATAAAGATTCATAGCTCGGACATTGTAGGGGAACAGTATATATAGAGATTCATAGCTGGGACATTATAGGGGAACAGTGTCCATAAAGATTCATAGCTAGGACATTGTAGGGGAACAGTATATATAGAGATTCATAGCTGGGACATTATAGGGGAACAGTGTCCATAAAGATTCATAGCTGGGACATTGTAGGGGAACAGTATATATAGAGATTCATACTAGGACATTGTAGGGGAACAGTATATATAGAGATTCATAGCTCGGACATTATAGGGGAACAGTGTCCATAAAGATTCATAGCTCGGACATTGTAGGGGAACAGTATATATAGAGATTCATACTAGGACATTGTAGGGGAACAATGTCATACAGATTCATAGCTGGGACATTGTAGGTGAACAGTATCCATAAAGATTCATAGCTCGGACATTGTAGGGGAACAGTATCCATAAAGATTCATAGCTGGGACATTGTAGGTGAACAGTATCCATAAAGATTCATAGCTCGGACATTGTAGGGGAACAGTATCCATAAAGATTCATAGCTCGGACATTGTAGGGGAACAGTATCCATAAAGATTCATAGCTCGGACATTGTAGGGGAACAGTATATATAGAGATTCATACTAGGACATTGTAGGGGAACAATGTCATACAGATTCATAGCTGGGACATTATAGGGGAACAGTGTCCATAAAGATTTTAAACATTATAGAGGAACAGTTTCCATAGAGATTCATAGCTGGGACATAGGACACCTAAACAATTTTAAAGGGTCAACTATCTCCTTTAATACCGGTAAAGCACGGAAAACATCGCATCCACATGCTGATAGTGGGGTTATCTGTTCCATTGTCTTTACCATGTTTGTTTGGGGGTTGACAGAGTTATACAGCGATGATGTCTACGAATGCTAAGTCAATGACGGATGCATTTATAGTGTCATCACAATGAAATATCATATTCTGGAGTCGATAGCCTGACACCATTGGGTCACATTATACTTAAAATGGACTAATGAGGCAGTGTCAAGAGAGACATTTGAAAGAAATACAAAGATCTCAAGTTAAGTCTTGGACAAGATAAATAATGCCATCTTGGTCTCTTAGTGGAAACAAACAGTTTTACAACAAAGGAATACATCATAAGTAACAATCACATTGTCGCACGTAAAGGCTACTGATACTACTTGCTGTTCTCGATTCAATACCATACATTCTGAGAAAAGAAAATATATTTTGAAAATATTGTAAAATAATAACTTCCTCGCTTTCACTTGTAATCGTAATATAACATATCCGGCGATGTCGATGGTTCGGATGTCGTTATGGAAATCATTATTTAAAATACAAATATTTGTGTTTGCATCCGAAAGATATTACGTGTAATCAATCCCTGAATTTACCTAGCTTTGGCTTTCAAATAATTTTTATTATGTCCAGTTAATTTCAATTTTTCGAATGCGTCATTCTGGAATCAAATTCACAGACGAAATTATAACAAGTACGATGGTAGACAACACATACGATTTCTAACTACACAAGGCATTGCATTCTCAGGATACGATGATGTTTTACGTCGATATACCTGTTCAAACCTTTTATCGACGTTTTACTTCCTTCACCGCTACAATGTTTAATGATTCGTTGCATTTAAAACTTATTACTATTATTGTTTAATGAGTATATGTAAGACATTTAAAATTCTTAAATCTGATGGGATATTAAAACGCGTTATTCTATACATCAGTTGTTTCATTCAGACTTGTAGACACCATTGCTGTATATGAAGAACACGGTCAATATATATTTATAAAATCTTGACAGTTATTTAAACAAAGTTATGAAACTTGGGTGATAAAGTCAGAGACAAACAGTATGAGACGCTCGTCGACTGCACACATCGGTCATATTTATAATACGAGAACCGCTGTGTTTTTATATATACACATATATCCATTAATGTATATAAATAAATACCTGTTATGTTATGATGATTTCATCGAGCGGAGGTCATGACCTGGTCATGTTGACAATTATTGGTACTTAACAAACAAAACAAAAAAAGTCACAAAAACGGACCGAACGCATGTTTCTAAATTTACTGACGACTGGTGTGGTCTGTGTCATTAAAACGCTCATACCTGTATTGATTTAATGTCATGTTCAACATTGTCTCTTTTAACCTGTATGAGAATAAAGCCGACCTTATATCATACAATATGTATTGTTTGTTACAAAGTATGAGGATATATATGTGGTCATATGCATGCACGCGCACGTTGATTTGTTTGACAGACAAACCCGGAAATCAGACAAAGTGCCTTTTTTGTTTTACAACAATTTGTGATAAATGTTTTAGTTTTTCTTAATCATCGCATACCACTTGTATTGTCAATGTTTGATATCCGTGTGGTTCTATGCTGGCATGAGTAAAGGCAGCTGAAGTTGATAAATCCCTTGAGTATAGGAGACTGGTGCGGACGTCAATGTGTGTTATGGGTTACTTTGGCCTTGTGCTTCTGATGCTGTGGACTGTTGGAACTGAGGCACAGTATAATCCTAATCATGGTAAGCGAAAGGGTCCTTGGAACCAAACGTAACACACAAAAACTGAAGGCAAACATATCATATTGCATTTATTTGTACAATGTAAATATTGAAATACAATGACTGATTGCAAAATTTTGTGTTGTCGGAAAATCGAACAAAAATTTATCTCATTTTTTTTTCCGTTTTTTGCTAATGTTTATACTATCATTATTTTTTTTTTTTTTTTACTTTTTTTTTGGTGAAAAAGAGAAGCGGATTCTCATAAAGTTTTCCTGTCTTCCTGTTCGTTCGTTTTCCCTTAGTTTTCAGTGAACTATTGTGTCTGTTTCACTCTAACACTGTATCTAAGTTTCATCTGTACTATCGTGTCATACACTTTCTTGTTTTAAATTCCTCTGTACTCTCGCGTCTTCAATTCCTCTATACACTAGCGTCTTAAATTCCTCTGTACTCTCGCGTCTTCAATTCCTCTATACAATAGCGTCTTAAATTCCTCTATACACTAGCGTCTTAAATTCCTCTGTAATCTCGCGTCTTAAATTCCTCTGTACTCTCGCGTCTTCAATTCCTCTATACAATAGCGTCTTAAATTCCTCTGTACTCTCGCGTCTTCAATTCCTCTATACAATAGCGTCTTAAATTCCTCTGTACTCTCGCGTCTTCAATTCCTCTATACAATAGCGTCTTAAATTCCTCTGTACTCTCTCGACTTCAATTCCTCTATACAATAGCGTCTTAAATTCCTCTGTACTCTCGCGTCTTCAATTCCTCTATACAATAGCGTCTTAAATTCCTCTGTACTCTCTCGTCTTCAATTCCTCTATACAATAGCGTCTTAAATTCCTCTGTACTCTCGCGTCTTCAATTCCTCTATACAATAGCGTCTTAAATTCCTCTGTACTCTCGCGTCTTCAATTCCTCTATACAATAGCGTCTTAAATTCCTCTGTACTCTCGCGTCTTCAATTCCTCTATACAATAGCGTCTTAAATTCCTCTGTACTCTCGCGTCTTCAATTCCTCTATACAATAGCGTCTTAAATTCCTCTGTACTCTCGCGTCTTCAATTCCTCTGTACTCTCGCGTTTTAAATTTATCTGTACTCTCACGTCTTAAATTCCTCTGTACTCTAGCGTTTTAAATTCCTCTGTACCCTAGCGTTTTAAATTCCTCTGTAATCTCGCGTCTTAAATTCCTCTGTACTCTCGCGTCTCAAATTCCTCTGTAATCTCGCGTCTTAAATTCCTCTATGCTCTCGCGTCTAAATTTCCTCTGTACTTTCGTGTCTTAGTTTCGACTACACTATCACAAGTTTCTTCTGTACTGTCGTGTCTTAGTTTCATCATTGTTATAGCGTCTAAGTTTCATTTTTGTTACCGTGTCGTCCTTTCCACTATAGTACTGTGTATTCTAGCTATGACTGTGATACATGTACTGTGTATTCTAGCTATGAGTGATACATGTACTGTGTATTCTAGCTATCAGTGTGATACATGTACTGTGTATTCTAGCTATGACTGTGATACATGTACTGTGTATTCTAGCTATCACCGTGATATATGTACTGTGTATTCCAGCTATGACTGTGATACATGTACTGTGTATTCTAGCTATCACTGTGTTACATATTGTGTATTCTAGCTATGACTGTGATATATGTACTGTGTATTCAAGCTATCACGGTGATACGCGTACTGTGTATTCTAGATATGACTGTGATACCTGCACTGTGTCTTCTAGCTATGACTGTGATACATGTACTGTGTATTCTAGCTATCACTGTGATACACGTACTGTATATTCTAGATATGACTGTGATACACGTACTGTGTATTCTAGATATGACTGTGATACATATACTGTGTATTCTATCTATCACTGTGATACATGTACTGTGTATTCTAGCTATCACTATGATACTTGTACTGTGTATTCTAGCTATCACTGTGATACATGTACTGTGTATTCTAGCTATGACTGTGATACATGTACTGTGTATTCTAGCTATCACTGTATTACATATTGTGTATTCAAAACTGTGATACATGTACTATGTATTCTAGCTGTGACTGTGATACATGTACTGTGTATTCTAGCTATCACTGTGATACACGTACTATGTCTTCTAGCTATGACTGTGATACATGTACTGTGTATTCTAGCTATGACTGTGATACATGTACTGTGTATTCTAGCTATCACAGTATTACATATTGTGTATTCAAAACTGTGATACATGTACTGTGTCTTCTAGCTATCACTACTGTGTATTCTAGCTATCACTGTGATATATGTACTGTGTATTCTAGCTATGACTGTGATACATGTACTGTGTATTCTAGCTATCACTGTGATATATGTACTGTGTATTCTAGCTATGACTGTGATACATGTACTGTGTATTCTAGCTATGACTGTGATACATGTACTGTGTATACATGTACTGTGTATTCTAGCTATGACTGTGATACATGTACTGTGTATTCTAGCTATGACTGTGATACATGTACTGTGTATTCTATCTATCACTGTGATATATGTACTGTGTATTCTAGCTATGACTGTGATACATGTACTGTGTATTCTAGCTATGACTGTGATACATGTACTGTGTATTCTATCTATCACTGTGATATATGTACTGTGTATTCTAGCTATGACTGTGATACATGTACTGTGTATTCTAGCTATGACTGTGATACACGTACTGTGTATTCTATCTATCACTGTGATATATGTACTCTGTATTCTAGATATGACTGTGATACATGTATTGTGTATTCTAGCTATGACTGTGATACATGTACTGTGTATTCTAGCTATGACTGTGATACATGTACTGTGTATTCTAGCTATCACTGTGATACATGTACTGTGTATTCTAGCTATCACTGTACATGTACTGTGTATTCTAGCTATGACTGTGATACATGTACTGTGTATTCTAGCTATCACTGTGATACATGTACTGTGTATTCTATCTATCACTGTGATATATGTACTGTGTATTCTAGCTATGACTGTGATACATGTACTGTGTATTCTAGCTATGACTGTGATACACGTACTGTGTATTCTATCTATCACTGTGATATATGTACTGTGTATTCTAGCTATGACTGTGATACATGTATTGTGTATTCTAGCTATGACTGTGATACATGTACTGTGTATTCTAGCTATGACTGTGATACACGTACTGTGTATTCTATCTATCACTGTGATATATGTACTCTGTATTCTAGCTATGACTGTGATACATGTATTGTGTATTCTAGCTATGACTGTGATACATGTACTGTGTATTCTAGCTATGACTGTGATACATGTACTGTGTATTCTAGCTATCACTGTGATACATGTACTGTATTCTAGCTATCACTGTGATACATGTACTGTGTATTCTAGCTATGACTGTGATACTTGTACTGTGTATTCTAGCTATCACTGTGATACATGTACTGTGTATTCTAGCTATGACTGTGATACATGTACTGTGTATTCTAGCTATGACTGTGATACATGTACTGTGTATTCTAGCTATGACTGTGATACACGTACTGTGTATTCTAGCTATGACTGTGATACACGTACTGTGTATTCTAGCTATGACTGTGATACATGTACTGTGTATTCTAGCTATCACTGTGATACATGTACTGTGTATTCTAGCTATCACTGTGATACATGTACTGTGTATTCTAGCTATCACTGTACATGTACTGTGTATTCTAGCTATCAATGTGATACGTGTACTGTGTATTCTAGCTATCACTGTGATATATGTACTGTATTCTAATCACTGTGATACATGTACTATGTATTCTAGCTATGACTGTGATACATGTACTGTGTATTCTAGCTATCACTGTGATACACGTACTGTGTATTCTTGATATGACTGTGATACATGTACTGTGTATTCTAGCTATACACTGTGTATACATGTACTGTGTACATTACTAGCTATCACTATACATGTGTGTATTCTAGATATGACTGTGATAAACGTACTGTGTATTCTAGCTATCATTGTGATACACGTACTGTGTATTCTATCTATCACTGTGATATATGTACTTTGTATTCTAGCTATGACTGTGATACATGTACTGTGTATTCTAGCTATCACTGTGATACATGTACTGTGTATTCTAGCTATGTGACATGTGATATTCTAGCTATGTACTGTGTATTCTAGCTATCACTGTGATACATGTACTGTGTATTCTATCTATCACTGTGATATATGTACTGTGTATTCTAGCTATGACTGTGATACTGTACTGTGTATTCTAGCTATGACTGTGATACATGTACTGTGTATTCTAGCTATGACTGTGATACACGTACTGTGTATTCTAGCTATGACTGTGATACATGTACTGTGTATTCTATCTATCACTGTGATATATGTACTGTGTATTCTAGCTATGACTGTGATACATGTACTGTGTATTCTAGCTATGACTGTGATACATGTACTGTGTATTCTAGCTATGACTGTGATACATGTACTGTGTATTCTAGCTATCACTGTGATACATGTACTGTGTATTCTAGCTATGACTGTGATACATGTACTGTGTATTCTAGCTATGACTGTGATACATGTACTGTGTATTCTAGCTATGACTGTGATACATGTACTGTGTATTCTAGCTATGACTGTGATACATGTACTGTGTACTGTGATCTATCTATATATGTACTGTGATACATGTACTGTGTATTCTAGCTATGACTGTGATACATGTACTGTGTATTCTATCTATCACTGTGATCACTATACTGTGTATTCTAGCTATGACTGTGATACATGTACTGTGTATTCTAGCTATGACTGTGATACATGTACTGTGTATTCTAGCTATGACTGTGATACATGTACTGTGTATTCTAGGTATGACTGTGATACATGTACTGTGTATTCTAGGTATGACTGTGATACATGTACTGTGTATTCTAGCTATGACTGTGATACATGTACTGTGTATTCTAGCTATGACTGTGATACATG